ATAATAATTTAATATAATAAAAAGTATAAAAATAAGCTTTAAAATTAATGATTATATTATACTTTATATAAAAAATATTAAGTTAGCAAGGCTAAATTATAAATTAAGTAAAATACTTATTAGCTTGTTTTTAATAATTATAAAATAAAAAAAATAGTTTTATAAGCTATTACTTTTATTAAATATATAATAACTATATAATAGTTTTTATATTATACTTTTAAAACCTTACCGCGGTAACTTATTTTAAGTACTAAATATTAATTTTATATTAGTAAATAGCAAGAAAAAATACTTTATTAAGGAAATTCTTAATATTTATAAATTTAAAGGTAAGGTATAATACCTTATAAAATAATAAAAATAAAATAATATAAAAAATAATACATAAAAATTAAAGGCTTATATAGCTAAAACTATAATATTTAAAGATTTTAAAAAAACCTATAAAAATAAATTATGTAAAGTAAAAAAATGCTAAATATAAATATTTATATTTATAATCTACGCGCACTTATAAAAAAATATTATTTTTATTAATTAGTAGCGCCCGCAGGGCCTTTTAATAAAAAAATATAAATATAAAATAAAATAAAAAATAATAAAAAACTTAAATAAGTGGCTAAGCCAGGTGGCATGTAATATTTAATATATATAAAATAAAAACTAAGCTTATAAGGGCGCTAATACTAATATTTAGTATAAAAATAATTTTAATAAAAAATTTTAAAAGTGGTAAGGCGTAGTAAACCCTATATTAAAAATAATAAAAATTTATAAAAATATTAGCGGTATAATATAATATAAATTAAAATATATAAATATATGCTTAGCGGCCAAGGCCGCACTAGCATAAAAAAACTATAATTATTAAAGTAGTACTAAAAAGCAGCTTAAAAACTTAAAAAAAACTATTATAATAAATTAATAAATTAAAACATAATAACACTATAAGAAAAAACTAACTTATATAATAAATTATTATTTTTATTAAGGGGGGTACTAACTTATAAAATAAAATAAAATATAAGTATAACCATGCCCACAGGGTTAACCACCTATATATTATTAATTATAATAATTTACTTAATAGCTACTTTAAATACTTAATAAGCTACCTTTAAGGTAATAAGCTTTTTATAAGCATGTGGACTACTAGCTTTTATATATATAATATTAATAATATTAATAATATTAATAATATTAAAAATATTAAAAATATTTTATAGCTAGTTACCTATTAAGGTAATATTAATAACTATATAATACTTAAGCACCCTTTTATTATTATAATAAAACTAGTACTTTTTACCCCTTAAATAATTATATAAAATACCCTGGTAGCCCGCGTGCTAAGTGGTTGCAGCAATTTAGTTTAATCCTTTGGAGGATAAAGGTTGTTTTGTTGGATAGGTGTTATTATTACTCTATATTAGAGACGGGGAAGGTGCGGATAGCAGCCCAGGGGGCTATGGTAGGTCACGTGTAAAGGGCCAAGCTATCCCAAAGTAAAAAAGCGTAGGTCCATGTAATACTACTTTAGCTTTAAGTAGCTATTTATAGGATTAGTTAAAGGGGCGGCTAATTAAAGTGGCAGAATTTACTTAGTCAAAATTTGCCAACCCAGTCGGTCCCGGAACTGACCTTTAAATTGCAGTACTAAAGTACTGCAAATAAGGGCTTTAGTTATAATATTTATAATAAATATATTTTTATTATAACACCCTATAATAATAATATATATTATATATTATAATATATAAAAATTAAGTAATAAAGTTATAAAAGCAGGGGCCGGGGCCAGGGCCAGGGCTAGTAAAAAAAATATTAATAAAAGCCTTATTAATAGGGGCGGTAGGGGTAGTAATAATAGTACTAATAATAATAAAGGCATGTAAATAATAAAATTAAGTTATTTTAATAGCTAGTATATTAATAGTTATTAATATATAAGTAAAGGGCAGGGAAATATAATCCCTATATACTAAAAATAAAATAAAAAGTAAAGGCTAAAACTAAGGCTTAATTATTATAATAAAAAAATATAAAATAAAATACTATAATAAAATAAATAACTATTAATAATAATATCTAAAGCGTGATATAAAATTATATTAAATATTAAAATAAAAAAAATATAAGGCAAAGGGCAAGCGTGGGAAACCTTAAAAAAATAAGATTAAAAATATATAGTATAATAAAGGCTATAATAAAGTAAATTATATTTAATTTAATTATTAAAAATAGTTTTAAAAACATAAAAATAATAAAAGCTAAATATAAAAAGCTTATTAATTAAATTAAAAAGGCAAGTGCGTAGTAAAATATAAAAAAAAAGTAAATAAAAAACTAATATAATAATATATTAATAACTAAAATAAAATAATTATATATTATAAAAAGCTGCTAAAGGTATTAAAAAAGTGTAAAAATAAAAAAATTTAGCTATTTAAAGCTTAAAGCTTTATTATAAAAATTAAGTATAAAATAAAATAAAATATACAGGCTTAATAATACTAACATGTAATTAATATTACTAAAATAAATAATATAATACTTAAAAAGCACGGGAAAAGGTAAATATAAGGTATTTTAACCTTAAAAATATAATTAAATAATTAAAAAGTAATAAAAATATAATAAAAAAATATATACTTATAATAAGTATTTTTAATTAAGTTATAAAAAAACTTAAAAAAAAATTATAAGGGTGCTTTAGTATTAAAACTAAAATATTATACCTAGCTATTATAAGTAATAATATTATATTTAAATTTAAAAGTAAAGTAAGGTAATTAAATTAATTTTTTATATTTAACTTTAAATATAAATTACATGTAAACTATAATATTTTATAAACTTAAAAAAAAACTTATTTTATAACACTTAATAAAATTTATAATTTAAATTATATTTTATAAAATAAAAATATAAATTTATAAATTACAAGGGCGTAATTACCTAAAAAAAAGTATTATTATTATTATTATAATATTATAATTATATAATATTATAATAATATAATTTAGTAGCCTAAGGCCACTAGATAAAAAAATTTAGTATTAAACTAGCTATATATTAAGGTAATAGCTAGTTATATAATATATAAAATATTAAGTTTAACTTAAAACTTTAATTTAAAAAATTAGTAATTAATTCCTACTATAAATACATAACACCTTTTTTATTATAGTAATTCATGTTCTCCTAAGCTTACCGCAGTATATAAACGCGACTCACACTAGGGTATTTTTAATACTAGCTTCTTTATCTTAGCCTTTTTTAATAGCCGCTAGGTAGTGGTTAATACTATTAATAATTTTTATTTATATTTTTATAAACTCCTGTATTTACTAGTTTTATATATTAATATTATTAATATGCAGCTCCTCCGGCAATTTCTTGGTAATTTACTTTATTAAATTTTTTTACTTTTTTAATTTAGTAACTATTTTTAAAATATTATTAAGTATTACCAGCATGTTTATTCTTTTTTTTAATTTTATATATTTTAATAAAACTTTTTAAAATATTATATTTACTAATTTTTTAATTACTTTTTTTAATAAAATTACCTAGTACTTTTTTTTTACTAGTAGCTATATTTTTAGCTTGTATATTACTTTAAAATACTTTTTAAATTTTTAATTTTTTTTATTATAGCTTTATAATCTTTTTTAATATTATAATATTATAATTAAGATTTTTTTACAAACTTCTCCCTAAGCTTATTATAAAGTATTTTTATATTTATTTATTTTACTTTAATAAGGGTTTTTATAAACTAGTCTACTAAATTTTATAAGCTAGTAAAAGTTATTATAATAATATAAAGATTTTTTTTATATTACTAAGGTTTTTCCTTATTTATAATATAATATATTAGTTAAGGTATAAATTTATATTTTTTTAATTTTATTTAAAAATATTAATTCGCGGCCAGGTATTTTATTAATTTATTTATTTTTAAAAAGCTTTCCTAGCTTATATAAGATTAATAATAATATAAAATTTATAAATAAAGTTTTTAATATTTCTAGTGTAAAGTTAAAGTTTTTTATTATAATAATATTTTTTTTTAATTTTACCTTTTAATTTTTATAACATCACGGGGACAGCGGTAAATAATAAAAAAAATAATTTTTATAAATAATAATAAATAATAATAAAGGTAATAAAGGTGATAATAATATATAGCTTTAAAAATAATAAAAAAATAAAAAATAGTAATATTTTTTGCTAGCTTTCTTTTTTTAATAAATAAAGTTTTTTAAAAACTTTTTTTTATTATTATCTTGCAAGAGGTAATACTATTATTTTACTTAAAAAGGGCTTAATAAAGTAATTACTAAAATATATTACTAGCTATTATAATTAATAATACTTTTATAGAAATACTTATAATTTTATAGTAAATAAATAGTAGGAACTACTTTATAAAAAATGGATATATTTAAAAACTAAAAATAAGAAAACAACTAACTACTGATTACTGCGGTAAAACACGTGACCTCGCCACCGTGTCGTTCTTTCCCCTACAACGAGTTCCAGAATTGCTGGCAACAAGGCAACCTTCCAAGTTCCAGGGCGAGGGGCTCTACACCTAGTACAGAGTACATTGCCAGTCTACTACGTCCACCACGACTCTAGAGACCACTTCACTTAGGTATTATGGAATTTGACTCCGGGACCCCAATAAGGGGCATTCACGCTGTGGATATAAAAATCTTAAGTTATCAGTCCCCTTCCCTCCTTGAGTCTCCCTGATTTCTAGGCATGGGCCAAGTGAATCGATGCCTACGTGGCAGAACCTCTCTAATGTCCCTGACGACTTGCTTGACTACAAAGTACCAGAAAGCCAGCGCTCGATGACTAAGATATCTTGAAAACGGGAATATAGTAGGCACATTGGAAATCGGCTAAGTATTATGTAACGCCACCCATCCGGGCTACCAGAATCAGGAGTATCTAGGAAACAGCCAACTGCCGGGATGGTAGGGTTATAACGTGGTATCCATTGTGTCATCTCCAGCATCAAGAGCACCCTGTCTTTCGGGATCGGGTGCGACAATACCCCTTCCTCTGCCCGCTAACAGCTCACGCCGGACTTCAGGTCCGATGTCCTTATGTCCGCGAACCAAAAGCAAGTCCAGGAGAGCTTCTCGCTGATCCTCGGTAATATCATTTCGGTAACGCTGGGCAAAGACAAGGAGTGACTGATGCCAGAGGACGGGGAGTTTGTATGCCTTCGACGATCCGTCCATCATTGAATCCTCTTCCTCGGCCGCGCGGAACCGCAAGAAATGGAAGACAAGAGCATCGATAACTTTATATGGGAGGGCGTACTTCTTTTCTAGAAAGACTCGAATAAATGTGTTGACCGCACCAGTGCTTTCCAGTGACTTCATGGACTGTTCGGCAGCAAGGTCACACATGCGAAGTAATGCAGCTGCCGAATGTAGAACAGGGATGGAGACGCGGGCGATGACAGAGGAGACAATGTGAGCTTCGCGTAGAGTGCAGGTCCCACTCGAAACCAAGGGAAATAGCAGCCCCTTGAAGAAACATGCCGGCTTGTAGAGGGCCTTCTTCATCGAATTGTAAGTGTGAACATTGAGTTTCTTCTGTTCATAGATTTCCTCGCGCACGCGTTCAAGCAAGACTGTTGAGATGTACTCCTGCGCAATGGCAGGCTTGTGGGATATGAATAATCTAGTTCCAGCGTAAATAGCGTTGGCCGTCCATGACTCAGGCCGGGTGATTGAAAGAAGCGTTTGCCAATTCGGAACAGTAGGGAGGATTTTGAACGGCTTCGGCAGAGGTCCAGACTTATAACGAGAAAGGATCATGCCAACTCTGATCATTGTCAGTAACCATCAGTCAGGGTGAGGGCAGACTCACTTCTCGTATACTTCGACAGCCTTCGCAGGTATTTGAACCGCGTCTTCCGGCAGGCCTCCGCCTTGAATTATAGGGCCAGTGTTTCCGGCCTGCTTTGCTTCATGCTCCGCGATCTTCTCTAAAATGAGGTCTGCGAGATTTGTGGTCTGGCCGCCAGACTCCGGCCCGCTGGGGTTGAATATTGGATCCTCATCGCCTCGAGGAACAAACTTGTGGAACACATCGAGATCATTCGGGTCGACCTCCTGTCAGAGATATTAGAAATTGACCGTCTTTCAGGATCGGGTGCGACAATACCACTTCCTCGATCTCTTCCTCATCGTCCCACTCCTCGATCTGTCCTTCATCTGAAAATACATCTTCATCCTCAAATCGTGACTCGAAATCAAATGCCGTGTTCGCTGGCTCTGGAATCACTCCCCGCGCGGCTTTCTGTTCGGCGGCATCCTCGTCGGCAAGTTCTTGTCCGATCTGTAAGATTTTGCGGGATGTTTTCGCATCCACAAAACGCTCTCCATCCTCCTGCTCTCCATCTGCCTGCGAATTGCGCTTGTTCTTCTTGGTAGGGGCCGTTCGCAGGTGACCTGTGCCAATAATATCCTCAGCGAGAGGGTTGTGTCGGCGGGCAGCGGCGGCAGCCCGCGAGGACGTCGCTTTGGGCATGTTGCTTTTGTTCGCGAAAAAATCGCTTTTATACTCTGATCCAGTACTTGTCGCACAATGACCAAGCCGGTTGGCGCAACTCAATCGAAGCTGCAAGTTGTGTGTAAATTTGTAGATCATGTAATCAGAAACTTTTTTTGGGCGCTCGTTATCGGTTCACCGCCTATGAAGCCCCTCCATACAAGCTGCATATTGGCGACTGATATCGGATCGTCCCTTGTTTTTTGCCGGATCATTCTCCCTGCCACTTTCTCATCAGCAGTCAGGAGCAGCAACTTTGCACAGATCTGAGTCTTTCAATGACTTTCTGGTCCTCCTAGAATTACTCTTACCACTTGCGGTTGAGGCTCCGCAGCATACTACAGCTTTTATAACCTATACAGTGGCCCTTGCGGAAGGTAGGGAAGCTGCGTGCACGGTGTGGTTGCTTTCACGCGGACGGCACTGCCATACACCTGTCTTGTAACGAGTTTCCGATCATGGCATCTACCCATGCGGCCGGATCTCCCGCGCCATCCTCCAGCATCAATTCCCCCGTCCTACATCCGGTAACAGTGCCTGCTCTAAATGTCTCTTTACTGGACGGCAGGCCTTTACTGGACGTTAACACCGCCTCTGGCCAACCTGACAGCGGGAGGTCGAAACGCAACAAACGGGATAGCCGTAAGAAGAGGGAGGCCAAGGGACTGGACCAAGAGAATGCTCCGAAGAAGAAATTGTGTATCGCTACCGCAGTCCCGAGTTCTGAACTCGGCATCCTAAGACCCATTGCGGTCGGTGAACCTAGGCGCTCGGATCTACTACCTCCTCAACCTCGCCAGCTGAGTTTTGCGGTGCGCAAGATGTCCGGCGTCATCGGCCAAAGTTGGGATTTTTATGAGGTTGTTGATAAACTAACCAACAAGAACGGCTTTCGCTATAGCTATGCCATAGCGGACGCGGATTTCGCGCACATCAAATACCGCCAGACGGATGTTCCTCCCTACTACGCTCGATTTAGCTTCGAGGATTCTCCGGCTGCAATTTTATTCTCCAAGGATGCCCTTGCAGTTACAACTAACGACCCGTGGCATACGGCACGTGCTAATGTATGCGCGCGAGAAGGGACTTATTACTATGAAGGTCGGATCATTAGTGGTATGATGAGTGACTCTAAAGCAGCATCGAATGGGCCGCCGACAAGGGGTCATGTGCGTCTTGGTTTTGCTCGACGGGAAGCAGATCTTGACGTCAATGTAGGGGTCGATTGTTACGGTTATGGGATTCGTGATGTGAACGGCGAGGTGGTCAATCGCATGCGGTGCGAATATTTCTTCCCAAAGGGTGAATCGATACGCGAAGGCGATGTCATTGGCATGCTCATCACCCTTCCGTCGCTCTCACTACATAGAAAAATTGTTGAAGGCGGCGCACCCAATATTGGAGGCGTCAACATTATCCGTGACCGCATACCTTTTCACTACAAGAATGACTTCTGTTGGCAACAGTCCAATGTCTTCCCTACCAAGCAATTGCGCGACTACGCTTTTAATCTCAAAGAAACACCAGCGTTCGGCCCACCGTCTCCTATGAACGGAGAAGATCCGTCATTGCGTACGTTACCCGGTTCGAGCATCACAATATTCAAAAATGGCATCAAGATGGGGACGCCATTCAAGGACCTGTATGCTTTTCTCCCACCCGCTAGCAGACTGGCAAACGGCACCAACAACCTCGGGCTCGGAGAGCGTGAGAATGCGGATGACGGTATGGTCGGGTACTACCCGGCTGTCAGCTGCTACGGAGGCGGTGCTGTTGAATGTCGCTTCCAAGCGCCCTGGTGGTTTGGTCCACCGTCCGAAACAGACAAAGGCGCGTCAGTCGTCGCAGGAATAGGAGAGCGGTTCAACGAGCAAATCGTCGAAGATGTCTTGGCGGACATCGTAGACGAGGTGGAAGCAATGCTTGTCTGGGGCGGCGTGGACGGCACGGTCATCCTCAAAGATGGCGTCGGCGCTGGGGCTGTTGGAGGCACGGACATCCTCAAAGGTGGTGTCGGCGCTGCTTATGACCCTGCCACTACCCTGTCTACTGCTCCTGCGGAAAGTAACAGCGCCAATATCAAACTCGCAGACCAAGATGCAAGCCAGACTACCCTTGAAGACAATATGAGCTTCGGCATGCCAAACCTTGACATGCCAGAACCGGAGGATACTCCTATGAATGGAATTTGATATAGTCTCACAGGGATAAAGCATATGACTAGTCTGCCAATACGCATCAATCGTGTGCTTGTTGAAATGTAAACCGTGCAGTAGTCAAACAACATAGATTTACAGTCCACATCCCTCCAGCAATTCACTGACTTTTAACACAAGTTCATCATCACCATACTGGCCAATTACTTGAATACCAGCCACCCCCGCGCTTCCTTGATTGCCAGCAGCATCATCGCCATAAACAGGAACAGAAACAGCCGGAAGACCGGCCAAGCTGGCAGGCACCGTGAACACATCATTTATGTAGGCATCCAAAGGTCCGGCCCCATTTATTGTGAGGTTGATGGATGGTGGTGGTGACGGTGCGGTCGGACAGATGAGAACATCGACTCCGGTTTGAGAATATGGCGGCTCAGCAGCCAACGGATGCGCTGCTCTGAAAGCGGCATCAAAATCACGCTGAACGAGACGCCGGATGCGCTGTGCTTGAACAAAGTAATTGTCCATGGCCTGGGCGCTCAGACTGAATGCACCTAGCATGATTCGTCTCTTGACCTCTGGGCCAAATCCTGCGCCTCTAGTCTTCGCATATAGCTTGTTTGTGAATTGAGTGCCGTACCTGACGCCGTCGTATTTTGCCAGGTTTGAAGACGCTTCGGCCGGGGCAAGTATGTAGTACGCTGACAGGGCATGGTTGGTCATAGGCAGCGATACAGGCTCAACGGTGTGGCCCTGCTGGCTTAAACGCTCCAGAGAGCGGTACCAAGCTTGTCGCACTGAGGGGGACAGTTCAGAGATGTTATACTCGAGCGGAACGCCGATCCGGAGGGGTAAAGATTTGAGGCGGGAGGAGAGATGAGGCGCGCTCAATTTTGAGAGCACCCTGGACCTTGATAACGGTGAGAGGCTTGTCGGATCGCGAGGGTCGTGCTTATTAAGGACGTCTGTGGACCGGTCAGCAAAGCCATACCATTAGGGGAGGACATACCAAAGACATCTCGAGCCACTGATGTTCGCTTGGCCAGGATACCAACCGTGTCTAATGAGTTTGCATATGCAACAACGCCCCATCTAGATAACAGCCCATATGAAGGCTTGAAGCCAACAGTCCCCGTGTACGCGGCAGGAAGGCGAATTGATCCGCCAGTGTCCGTTCCTAGTGAGCTGTACGGTTTTTAGACTAGGATACTTTTTTTTCAGTCAAGGATGCATACGCATAGCACTGTTCCGTAGCGACAGCAACTGCGCTACCACCAGAACTTCCTCCCGCTGAGAGATGTCGGCGATTCCTGACATGGCCAAAGTGCGAATTGACGGAATGAGATCCCATACCAAACTCGTCTAAATTGGTCTTCCCGGCGACGATGGCCCCGGCATCTTCTACTTGCTGAACTACCGTCGCATCGAACGGACTCGTAAATGTCTCAAGTGTTCTCGAGGCGCACGTTGTGGGAAAGTCGCGTGTGCATATATTATCTTTGAACGCGATGAGTCGGCCGTCTAACTTAGACTTGGGGTTCCCTGCGTGTGTTAGTATCCAAATATCAGCTCTTCAAGCCGTACCTTGCTTCGCCCGAAGGTCCGCATCTTTCGCCTGCTTGTGCCACTGTCCGGATTGCCGGGGCAAAGGGGATATGAAGGCATTGAGTGCGATATGGGAACTCTGATTAGCGGCATATCTCTCAGCTTCCAGCAGGAGTGACATTTGGGCCGGTCGCATGATTTAAGGAGAATGATAACCAGACAAGACAATCAGAGGCCGAATTCCGCGGGTGGCCCGTGCTTCAGCAGTACCGGTCTGTACCTGTCACTTCGCTGAGTGACGAGTATTGAGGTTAGACATGGGTAGAGACCAGTATATTTGCTGTCGCAGGCTAATACATAATTTTGAAAGACGAATCGCATTTACGGTACCTCGCGTTTAAGTCGCACTGTACCAGATCATTGCAAGTATGCATTTTTAGCTAGACCACTACCTAGTCTACGGTACCTAAGCTGTGGAACGCCGGAAGCTCTCACCTCCGTCGGCCCGAGGGTAAGAAACGACGTCATGGTCGATCTTGTTCAGTTCCTGCTCTCGACATACTCTTCGAAGCTGTTTTTTTCTTCTCAACAACCTCTCATTATGTTCTCACGCTGTGTCAGCTCGCCGTTTCATACGTCTCGCATCCCGTCCTCCCTAACCTCGACCGCCGCGCGCCACTGCCGGAGCTCAGGGTTGAATTCGCGGGTTGACGGTCGGAGATACATTTCGGCATACGGATATATACAAGCCAAAGCGCTGGTCTACTCTAAATACGGAGAACCAAAAGATGTCCTGAAGTACGTATTTCGTTAAATAAAAGGGTAAGCTAACGTTCGGCAGACTTCACAAGCATTCGGTTTCCGCTCCCAATGGGACGCAGGTCAACCTCCGCCTCATTGCGGCGCCGCTGAACCCCGCCGATGTAAACCAGATTCAAGGTGTATACCCAAGCAAGCCCCTTTTTGAGACGACCCTTGGTACACCAGAGCCCTCCGCTATCGGCGGTAACGAGGGCGCGTTCGAGGTTATTGGGACTGGGTCCGAGGTCAAAGATCTCACAAAGGGTGACTGGGTTATCATGAAGCGTACGGGACAGGGTACATGGCGCACACACGCTCAGATGGACGAGTCGCAATTGATTAAGATTGAGGACCAGACAGGACTCAGTCCATTACAAGTCAGTACCGTTAGTGTGAACCCTGTTACCGCATACCGGATGATCAAGGACTTTTGCGACTGGGACTGGATGCGCGCTGGGGAGGAATGGCTCATACAGAATGGCGCAAACAGTGGCGTCGGCCGTGCTGCTATCCAGCTCGGGAGAGAATGGGGCATCAAGACAATCAATGTTGTTCGTGAACGCAATACGCCAGAAGAGACTGAGGCCTTGAAACAAGAGCTGAAAGACCTAGGAGCCAATGTGGTGGTCACTGAGTCTGAGCTGCTCTCTGGTGAATTCAAGAACATCGTCAAGGAAGTCACTAAGCAAGGCAAAGAACCCATTCGGTTGGCTCTGAACTGTGTTGGTGGGAAAAACGCCACTGCCCTGGCGAAGGTTCTGGCGCCGGGCTCACATATGGTTACATATGGCGCGATGTCAAAGCAGCCTGTCGCTTTACCTTCTGGCCTTCTGATCTTCAAGAACCTGGTGTTTGATGGCTTCTGGGTAAGCAGATGGGGCGACAAAAACCCACAACTCAAAGAAAACACAATCAAAGATATCCTGCAATTAACTCGAGCAGGAAAGTTCAAGGATATTCCCGTGGAAGAAGCTAAATGGAGCTGGGACACCGAAGGCTACGAACTTGCAACAGCTGCGCAGGGAACTCTCAGTGGATACAGGGGCGGGAAGGGCCTGCTCACGTTTGTTGATTAGTACAGCTATGTAAAATCAGAACCAACTATGTACAGCCCCAGTTAGCCGTTATCCAGGCTACAAGAACATCTGTGAATGAAGTGGAGGGCATGTAAACATCGCTTTCGTGAGGGACGTCAATAGCGAGCCCAAGTTGACTGGCTGCCAAGGCCACATAAGGCTCTATAAAATCGATGTAGACAAGGTCCACTGTTTCTGGTACAGCAGAACCCGCATGAGGTGCCAAGGCACCTATGCAATTCGGTACGTCGTAGAAATCAATCACGGAGTGGATCGTATCATCACCATCCGTGCCAAGATCATCTGTCGTAGTATATCCGGGTATGGTATCATATTGAGCGTCACTAGACATCGGAGTTTGATCTACAGGAATATCGGAAACGAATCTAGTGAGGCGGGTGCGTGCAGCTTGCTCCGGCGGTGCAAGCGTCCAGGGCAAGAATCCAGGTGCAGCTTCGGACGCCGCCAGAATTCGTGGCTGCTGGTTCAATAAGTCCAGAACCTGCAGCGCTTGAGCGTAGGGAACATCCTTCAGGTAACGGAAGCCGCTTGTAAATGGCGAAACCATAAATGCCGAGTCCCGAGTAAATTGCCCCTCAAAAAGGTCGAACCGAATGGCGCCAGTGTTGAAAATAGCAAAGGCCGGTTTCCCTCGGCGGGATTCGTCACCCAACATGTCTGGGAGTACCGCTTGCTGCAACCAGGCGTATATGCTATCCGTAGCGCCACACGGAGTTCGCGACATCCATAAGGTTTTCGGTATGCAGCCATAAATTTCGTCTAGCTTGAGGGTACTTCGATATTGCTGGATAAGACGAGATACATTGCGGCCACTCTCTGTAGGAAATGTAGTTTTATTGAGGTGAGTGTGCTTGTAAAAGGAAAAGAGATTGTTATCGATATACATTCGCTCGAAGGTTACCGACTCGGGCTTTGACTGATTGCGTTCGGTAGAAAGACCATCGAGTGACATGAATCCAATTGTTTCCATAAATCGACCGCTCGCAAGGCCGACGGCTTTTGGATCGTACCGGTGGCAGTCGCGAATATGAAGATGGCCACCGAAAAACTGAATAGGCGTGTCTTGATGCTGTCTAATCGCGTTGAAGACAGCGTCATACTCTTTTGACCGAACTGGAACATGGCCTATTACTAAGAAAAGATCCACTTCCTGGTCCTTGATAACCTGTTGAAACCAAGTCTCTTTGACTGTTTCCTCCACCGGTTGAACAATAGTGTTGTTATAGTTCATCGTAAAGTCGAAAAGGAACCCAAAGGCGACAACACGAACGCCCTGTTTCTTTGTGGTGAATTTCCTGGATCGAGGACCCAATGCTACCAATTCTCCAGTTTCGGGATCATAAATATCGATGTTAGATGCCAGGTAATGGCCATGGAAGTTAGGTACGGTAACTTGGAGTTCGGCTTCGGCCGTGGTCTTTTTATACAGCTCGTGGTTTCCAGGCGACAGCACGTCAATCGGTTGTTGGCGTATGATCTCAGAAGTGTATATGCCCTTGGGATCCGATGAGTCGTAGAGACCATTGCCTTCCACTCTATCACCTGTGTCAACTAGAAGCAGATCACGCCCATCAGCTTCGGCTACCTCACGCATGCGAGTAGCAAATGACACATAGTCGCCCCAGTCTGCAGAGTACGACGGTCTACGCAAGTTAGCCTTGTATGAAAAGAAGAGAATGCTCATACTCCGAAAGATGGCCTGCCAACCAGCCGTGGGTGTCTGTAGTATGAAGAAAGTTGAGTTGACCCCATTTCAGTTCACGCAGTGGCACTGGGACAGGGTTAGGAGCGGAGGGCTGAACTGCTTGGACTGCTTGAACTGCTAGGAACAATGAGAGTGGAAGAATAATCTTTCTGGTCATTGTCGTAGCAACATATATTGGGAGGGTGCCGGATGATCAAGTCTTCAAGAGTCAGTTACAGCTATGAGGACCAAAGAATTCACGCTTGGAGGTTTTTTATGCCTGGCCTAGCTGATTCCATCGAGGCGTAATGCAGGTTAGAGTAGTCTGATGTACCGTAAAAATAAACAACACGTGATGACAGAAACTTGGAGTGTCCATTCAATGACCATATGACATGGATCTGGGGACCTTGAGGGCTTCTTTGCCGTTAACTCCAGCACATCCTCACATCATACGGAGTAACTCCCATTCTCATGGTCATCCGATTCATTATTATTAGGCGCTGGTGTACCTATCTTCGGAGGAGGGGATTCGCCGGTCCGTTATCAGAGACAAAGTGGACACGGAAGAAGTCGCCGGTGAGCCCGGCCTTAGTCAGCGCCCTCCCAACACTCCGCTGAAGAGCTCTCACCAAAAAAACGCATCCCGACGAGATCGTTGCGTCTGCTCGTTTAGTTCGCATCTGACGAGATCTGTTGCTTATCGTACCAGCAACTCTGCCACTAATCAGCCCAGTTATGGCTTCTCCCCGTCTCTTCCGACCGGCAGCTCGTCTGCTTTCTTCGCGCCTCTCCGCGACTCGTCCAGCCTTCCCTCAGACTGCCTGCACACCTTCAATTCTGCGCTTTCGCGGTTATGCCACACAAAACGGTACCAAGGAGGTCACCGTCCGAGATGCCCTGAACGAAGCCCTTGCGGAGGAACTGGAGCGCAACCAAAAGACGTTCATTCTGGGTGAGGAGGTTGCGCAGTACAACGGAGCGTATGTCTTCTCGAAGTCTTGTTGCCCTCATATTAATTGTCGGCAGTTACAAGGTCACCAGAGGTCTGTTGGACCGCTTTGGTCCCAAGCGGGTTATCGACACACCCATCACGGAAGCAGGCTTTTGTGGTCTGGCAGTCGGAGCTGCTCTAGCTGGACTGCACCCCATTGTATGTCATCCAAGAGTTGATGGGACGTAGCTAACTGCAAAGTGCGAATTCATGACCTTCAACTTCGCCATGCAGGCTATTGATCAGATTATCAACTCTGCAGCCAAGACGCACTACATGTCTGGCGGTATCCAGCCTTGTAACGTTACCTTCCGCGGCCCCAATGGTTTCGCCGCTGGTGTCGCCGCACAGCACTCTCAGGACTACTCTGCCTGGTACGGCAGTATTCCCGGCCTGAAGGTCGTTGCGCCCTGGAGCGCCGAGGATGCGAAGGGTCTGTTGAAGGCTGCTATCCGCGATCCCAACCCTGTCGTTGTTCTCGAGAACGAGTACGCCGTCACCCCTGGAAACTTTGAGTCAAGAAGCTAATTGTGTAGGCTTCTCTACGGCCAGGCCTTCCCAATGTCCGAGGCTGCACAGAAGGACGACTTCGTCCTTCCCATCGGCAAGGCCAAGATCGAGCGTCCCGGAAAGGACCTGACCATCGTTTCCCTCTCGCGCTGCGTTGGACAATCCCTCAACGCTGCTGCTGAGTTGAAGCAGAAGTACGGTGTTGAGGCCGAAGTCATTAACCTTCGTTCCGTTAAGCCTCTTGATGTCGAGACTATCATCCAGTCTCTCAAGAAGACTGGACGTTTGATGTGCGTCGAGTCCGGATTCCCCATGTTCGGTGTTTCTTCCGAAATCCTCGCTCTGTCCATGGAATACGGTTTCGACTACCTGACAGCCCCCGCTGTCCGCGTCACAGGTGCTGAGGTGCCTACACCTTACGCTGTCGGACTGGAAACGATGAGCTTCCCCCAGGAGGACACCATCGTTGGCCAGGCTGCCAAGCTTCTCCGGCTATAAATTTGTCGTTTTTGAGCAGTTGGGCGGGGGTGCGTGGCGCAATTCATCCTCACGCCGTATTTTGTCGTTACGGTTTCTTTCAGCTTGAACCGGTTTATGATTTTTGTACTATTATCTTAAGCATCACTTAGACCAAAATCTGGGCATACTATATGGTTTTCATGGAAAATGGCCCTTTATTGACCGCAAGCGTAAAGATATTCGAGGAATAGGAAGACTTCGTTATCTGGCACGTACGGTTGGGTCCTATTTGCGCCGCCTGGAAGCTCGAATTTATTATCAAGTGGTCAAGTAGAACAAATCTTCCTAGGCCTGAACTCGAGTTTGACCGACACATCCAGAAAAGCAATCCGTTGGTTTACGCGGATCATAGTATCCTCCACCAGCAGTGTCAGTCAAATACTCCTCGTCCGTGTCACTCTCCCCTTGTTCTTGTAGAATTCCAGAAGGCTTGTCGGGTTCGAGACCGCCACCAGTAGTATCTCCATCATCATCTCCTAGCACATTTTTTATTATCGAAGGAGTAGCTGGACCTTTGACAGTGGTAAAGGAACTCTTAAAGCCCCCCTTTTTAAACCCGCCGCTACTTCCTGTGCCCGAGGTGGTCGCCGCAAGGACTCTCAACCCAGCTTCCGCGTCGGCCTTTTTCTCAGCCCGTCTAGCCTTTTCAGCTGCATTCGGGTCTCGGGATAGCTGCTTGAGGTCTTGAAGGCGCTTGCGATGTTGATGGTCGTAAGACCCGATGTGGGCTTCATACTCTGGGTGCCGCGAGTAGGACTTGTTGCAAAGTGTGCAAGTAAAGGAACTTAGTGCAGAGCGCGCTGATTCGGTCTGCGATAAGAATGAACATTTGTACCGGGTTATTGGTCCTGTCGTACCTTGGGAGCCGGGTTTGTAAAGCCTCGCTGCGAAAATGATATCAGACGGCTACGCTAATCCGGTACATGCGAGCGGAACACTGACCGGCCCCATTGCCAGCCGTTAGCTGCGATGTATCTTGTAGGGTTGTTTGATGATAAGTCGAATGAAGCATGGACTTCCGCTTCTTCTACCGACCTCCTATGCTGCCCGGGACTGAGCCTGGCGTGGTGGAGGCTGTTCTGCCAGGAGCCACCGCCCAAATACCTACCTACCTAGTACTAAGTACGGGGTAAAAATGTTCTTGTCACGAGCAACGCCGAGATCATAACCAGCCGAACAGTGCTCGGTAGAGATCTATATATGAGAAGAGTTAGTGACTGGGGAGCTTCCCGCTCGTACCTGCTTAGGTAACTGAGGCTGGTTCGGTTGTGTCTTTGCACAGAGCCAATGATATTGATCGCAAAATACTCCGTAATGACGATCGAATCTTAGAAGGCTGAGCTCCGTCAGAACCGCCAAGCATATAGAGCCATCTATCTCAATAACATTCTTTAAGATACCAATATCCTCCCGGATCGTTGTCATGATTCCCCCCTAACACAACGGTACTGCCCAAATAACAAATATATCTTACTTCTATTCTTGGCCGCTCAGATGGCATCTTCGGTTCTACCAACGCATGATGACGTCGACACAAAATCAATAATATCTATGCAGGAGTTGGATCCATCTCCAGTGGACGAGGGCTTTCCTGATATCCCTTATGAGACTTATACAGATAAATATGAGCCTCCAACTGGGCGAAATTTTGGATGGTCTCCGCTAGGCCTCCGCAGCCTAAATTGGGATTCCTGGTGTAGGTTGAAAAAGGCCATGGTCTAAACCGCAACCGCTAAACGGATTTTACAGTGTCGGCTCTACAGAGATATTCCACGTACCCTCCCACAATCTTCGCCGCGCTGCATTTTGCAAATACCTCGCTCATTCCTATAGCGACTCGCTCAGTCTCCGAAAGCGATAACTATCTCCTCCTTACAAGGCCCATTTATCAATCTCCCTCGCTTGAGCATGTCATTCTGACCGTGCCCGTACTGACACATATTGCGTCTGGAATCGCCCTACGAAACATCCGCTCTTCACGTCGCGCGCGACTATATGGAGCCGAGACAAGAGATCAGAGGTACACGCTCAGTTTCTGGCCCCGGATGAGCTTGCAGGCGCGCTTAGGATATGTATTTGCCCCGCTTCTCGCTACTCATGTCCTTGTCAATCGCATTGTGCCAGTTATGATTGATGGCGGAAGCTCGAGCATTAATTTAAGCTTTGTTGCTCACGGAATTGCACGCAACCGTGTATTATGGGTCACATACTATCATATTTTTGTCTTTGTCGGGATATACCACATTCTAGGTGGCCTGGCGTCTTGGATGGGCTGGAGGATTACTACGGCTCGGAAAACTCGAGGTAGCAAGAAGGGCACTTTGGAAGGTGACCTTGGACATACCGAAAGTGATCAGCACATCAAGAGACGGAAACGAATGTGGTGGAATTTCAACAAGATCGCTACTCTAGGAGCATGTGTCTGGCTTGCTGGCGCGCTATGGGTAGTTGGAAATGCCGGGAATGGTATTGGCTGGGAAGCCAAAGGCTGGAATGAAATATATAGCCATGTGCCGGTCATTGGAAGCTGGCTATAGCCGATATGCGATTAATAAACTAATGATTGACGAAAAGATACTGTATTGTGGTTGACTGTACATGATAATAATGCAGTGAAGTCCAGTCATGTTCAAGTAGGGACTGTTACAAGCCTTGCACTCCGTACTTTGCACATAATCCGTATTTACTAATCTGCTTAAGTGCATCTACTCTATGGAGTCCTTCATTCTCCCGAGTAGGCGTGTCTTGGCAGGCCGGTTCGCCGATATCCGATCTCCAAATTTTTTTGTCTCAATGTTACCGCCGACCGGTAATTGCTTTGAGCTCCATGGGTAGTGCAAGCATTTGATATCTCTTCTATCCGCGCGGCTGTGCTTCGTCCATCTGGGCTTCATGAAGCATACCCGGAAACTACTCCACGCCCTGAGCACCTGTTCTACATTCAGATTCCCGAATCTCAGATCCCCGAATCTCATCCATTCGAGCCAGTCCGCCTTTCTCAACTCACAAATCATGTCTTCCAATGAAGTGGCTTCTCCTGACTCAGAGGTGCAGTATAGAGGCAAATCGTACCGTGTTATAAAAGAAGGACGAGCATACATTTTGAAGCCACCCGCCGAAACCGCAGCTACGCAAGCGACAAGGAGGGACCTCAAGCCTGAAGACAAGGACCAGACTGTCTTCTACAACCCAATCCAGCAGTTCAACCGCGACTTGACGGTCCTCGCAATTCGCGTTTATGGGGAGCATGTCATGGCGAAGAATAAGCTGGCGAATAAGCATACACCCAAAAGCAGGACGAAGAAGAGGAAGCGAGAGGACGAGCAGGTCAAAGGAACTGAAGAACTGCCAGATACTCAACATGTCGATCCTTGTCCGTTTACAATCCTAGACGCTTTATCCGCCTCTGGCCTACGTGCTCTACGATACGCATCCGAAATCCCATTCGTCACCCGCGTCGTTGCGAACGACCTTTCGAGCTCCGCGATTCAATCGATGAAACTCAATATCGAGTATAATAGACTTGAAAATCTGATTCAACCTAATACCGGCGATGCGCGCATGTATATGTACCGCCACGTTGAAGAGAGAAAGAAATTCGATGTCATCGATTTGGACCCCTACGGCAGTGCTGCTCCGTTTATAGATGCAGCTGTGCAAGGAATCAAGGACGAGGGGCTCCTTTGCATTACGTGCACTGATGCAGGCGTGTGGGCATCGAATGGTTATCCCGAGAAGTCGTTCGCCTTGTACGGCGGCATTCCAATGAAAGGGTTGCATTCTCATGAGGGTGGTCTGCGCTTAATACTGAACAGCGTTGCAATTGCAGCTGGAAAATATGGACTTGCGATTGAGCCGCTTCTCTCTCTGTCAATCGACTTTTACGCTCGACTCTTCGTCCGTATTCATCGGTCACCAGCGCAGGCCAAGTTCATGTCGGGCAACACAATGGTTGTCTATAACTGTGACTCAGGCTGTGGCGCATGGACCACCCAGCCCTTGACTCAAACTCGGCAGAAACTCGACAAAAAAGGAAACCCATTTTATCATTTTGGGCTTGCACAGGCACCAACCGGGAACCAGAAGTGTGAGCATTGCGGAATGAAGACTCATCTGTCCGGCCCAATGTGGGCTGGTCCTCTTCATAACTCGGACTTTATCCAAAAGATACTCGACCTGCTCCCGCAAGTCGATAGAGATGTTTACCAGACTTTAGACAGAGTTGAAGGCATGTTAACTACCGCACTCGAAGAAGATTTGAGCCTGCAAATCATCCCAGAAAATGACCAGTCCCCTGCCTCTGAAGACACCGCCCCAACTGGAGACTCCCTACACATCATTGCCAGGACAGATCCTGCTCTTCGCGAGCCTCATCCTTTCTATTTCGGCCTCGCTAGCATCTCGAAGGTCATTCACACGACCACTGTTCCCTACTACGAATTTCTTGGTGCCCTTCGCCATCTCGGCTACCGATGTACTCGCAGTCACACCAAACCGAACACAGTCCGCACCGACGCTCCATGGACCGTTATCTGGGAAATTATGCGTGAGTGGGCACGGCAGAAAGGGCCCATTAAAGAGGGGTCTATCAGGCCTGGGACTGCAGGTGCCGGCATTATGGCCAAAAGCCGGAAACTACAAATCAATCCGCAATTAACGGCATTGAGACAGGAACTCATTACTGCCTCCGAGGATGGGAAAGACGTGCCCGATCTTATTACTAGAGTCGAGGCTGCATTGTATCGTTCACGGTCACAATGCAGCCTCGACTCTAGCACAGAGCTTTCGGCAGGCAATGCCAGAGACACTCGAACAGACAACTCGTCGGTGGATTGCTCTAAGCTTGATGTGGTGTTTGACGAATCTCTGGGGCGGCAAACGCGGCGCCGGAAGCGGCTTGTTAGGTACCAGGTAAATCCAAGAGCGAACTGGGGTCCATTGGGTCGAGCCTCTGGGGGGGCTCGTAGATGATTTCCGTATACTCTCTTCAAATGCTCGAACAAAGTGTATCAGGTTTCGGTCCTAGTCGACTAAGCGTCAACTTAAAATAGACTCTTGAAACAAAGAAGTATGATGATGACAACGACGATGTGCATCGGTCAATTTGTCCTCACTTCTGCAAGTTTAACTGGTAGTAGCTATATTTGTAAACGGTTACTGGAGTGCAGGGGGCACTGTCACTATGAACCACTTAACTGGGACAAAGGCGCTCATACTAATCAAAATGCTATGTCTCTAAATACTATGTACATATTACCAGCAGGAAACCGATGTTCTTCTTGAAACAGGACTAACAAGTCACTTGCATTAAGTACTAGAGATAACATCTATATGCTATAATCTATCAAACTACTGGTTGACAACCATTAAAACTGAGAGATCGCAACGGCAACGGCCTGTGTGTCGCTGTGGCTGATGCTGACAGTAATCTGCTTCACGCCGGCTTCTTTGGCAGCTTCAGCCGCGACACCATGAAGCTATGCATCGTTAGCTTAGATCATCCCAAAAACAGAGGATCATACCTTTACAGTGGGCGCACCATTGGAATCATTCTCAATTTCAATGTCTTTCAGGGGAGCCCCGGCACCTTTACTGCAGACACCCAGGGACTTGAAGACAGCCTCCTTCGCGCTCCATCTTCCCGCAAAGGATGATCGAGGAGATGGGGCAGCTTGGCAGTATCGTTGCTCGCTGGATGTGAAGTTTCTTTCAATGAATGTTTCATTTGAAATGTTGATGCTGTCAATGGTTTCGACGTCGACGCCGACTCTCGAATTTTCGGCGGCGTGAGCCTTGGCAAGAGATTCAACCACAGCCTTGGTACTTTCATCTTTTTCCGCTACCGGGGCTGCTGAGTACTTGAGCTCGGAAGTCTTCTTGTCTGCTGTCACACGATAATCGGGATTGAGGAAAACCTTGCTCTGGAGATCGTCTTCGTATGGCGCTTTGTCTTTGGCGACGAAAATACTGTTGTTAACCAAACCATTATGAAAAAAGCGGTAGGCCTTCTTTTGTCTGGTCTCAACCTTGGCTTTGTAGGCTTCGAATTGTGCGCGATCGAGGGTTGCATACAGGTACTTAGGATGGATACCAATGACCTGAGCGCCCTTTTGACCGAAACCAAACGAAGTAACGGAGAAAGCCTTGATACCGTCCGTCTGGATGCTGCGACTGGGATAAACAATGTAGTCGAACTTCTCCATCACCTTGTCAACGTTGTCAGCATTTCGGTTGCCCGGAACCAAGCCGCTGTCCAAGACCTGAAGACACCCGTTGAACATCCAAGCACCAGCAGCACCCTTGGGATGCCCGGTGAGGTACTTCTGGAAGATTCCGAGGAGGGCGTTGCCTTTCTTCCGACCGAGATGCTTCATCTGTTGACAAATAACATCCGATTCGTTTTTGTCGTTCGCGACAGTGGAGGTGCCATGGAACGAGGCAACGCCAATATCATCCACAGTAAGACCCCATGTGGCCAGAGCGCCACGCAAAGGAGCAATACGCGAGTCTTGTTTCCAGAAGTTGTTGCCAAGGCTGAATTGCGCATCCTTCTCCTGTCGGATGGCCTCACGGTTGATATGGTGAGCTCGTTCCTGCATGTACTCAGTCGCATCAAATTCCGCAGGGCTCTGGGCTTTCATCGCATCGGCCTCCTCCTGAAGGTATAACAATTCTGACTCCTGCCATTCTCTAATCTGCTTCTTGCGCATTTCGAGCTGTCTGCGGCGGTACTTGATGTCGAGTAAGGGTGACGGGAACTTGCCAGGGTTCTCGCGCGCGGTTGTTAGGACACCTTGACCAGGTGCGGGCACAGAACGACCAATCTTGTCAGTGGCAGTCGTCGTTAAGGCGATAATTCCGTAGATGGGCACACCCATGTCAAGAGCAAGCTGGGCACTCATAATAAGTTGCATACCACAACCTTGAGATTCCATAAAGCCTGCACGTGTGGTGGTTGTGGGTCTTGACATTTCCTGGGGGGTACGGCCGTGTGCGAACTCATCCTCAGCATTGCTGGTAGCCTTCATGTTCGCGAATTCATAAGAACCCTCTTCCTGGAAATCGTCGAATCCACCGACGAAACAAACTCGCGCCTTGCCTTCCACAATTGTCTCGTAGCCAATGTCGACGGACTCCACAGCGGTAGCACAAGCACCAACAGGGGTTTTGATGGGGCCTGTAGAGGACAAGAGTAACATGTTCACCCAAGCACTCATCGTGTTGATAAAGGATTCCTGAAGAATGTCCTTTTGCAGAGGTTTGTCGAGATACCGATCCTTGTACATGCCTCGCAGAGCATGCGTACCTCCAATACCGGATCCAATGCAGTTTCCGACCTCGGATAGATGGACGTACTTGTAAAATTCATAGGGATCGGTAACACCGGAAGAGAGCATGGTTTCAGCAGTGCAGACAAGGACAAAAAGTGTCACCGGATCAACTTGTTCAATGATATCATCAGGAATACCATATCTCTTTGCATCCCAGCCGGTGGGGATCTGGCCGGCAACTAACCGGTCGAACTGAAGCGCCTTGGGAATGAGAAGAGTGGCACCCTTCTTCAGACGGACAGTATACTCGCCAGATTCGAGTTCAAAAATTTCCACCTTGTCGCTATGCTCCCGCTTGAATTCCTCAGCGGTTTCCTTCGAAGCTTCGAATGGCTCGAGATTCTCCTCGATGACAATCTCCTGGAGCATTTGCTTCTTCTTGGGATCGTATCCCTTGAAGAGCTCCGGCTCGATCAGACGGATACCAGAATGATCAAGGATGTATTTTTCATATTTCGCTTTGACATCCTTGTCATCTACAGGCTCACTAGTCTTGGCATCGACCCAGCCGGAGTAAGCCTTGCCCTTGATAGGCCCATTGTGGTGCTTAATGAGACCCATGATCCAAGCCATTTCCACGCAACCCTCCAGGGAAAACTTGCCGTTGGCTTCCATTTCCCAACGAGTGCGAGAGTTACCCCAGGGCCCGACTTCGGAAAACCCAGTGACAACAACAACTTTGTCCAAATTGACCATTCCCTTAAGGGTCTCGTTGTGGGGCTTGATGTCCTCATCCCAGGTTGGCAAATTGGGAAACTGGAACTTGATGTTCGCGCGAGGCTCTGCAATGACCTTCTTGTAGAGAACTTCACTGTCTTCCCCATTCACGACCTTGTTCTCAATGGCAGTTTCTTTGATGACAGCCCTGCGGACGTCGCTCGTCTCCATGATCTCCGTCCGGAGCCTGGTCATGAGGTCTTTCAAGTCAGGAATGAACTGCAGCCCACCATTTAGGTCTGCCCAGACAGGATCAAGTTGACAAAGGTTCACGATTGCGGGTGCCATGAGGCCAAGCAGGTTGAAAGCCATCTCCTGCTGCGAGAACGTACGAACGCCAAGTTTCTCAACGCCCTCGGCAACCATGTTGTTACCGCTCATCAAGCCAGTACCGCGGGTCCATCCAATGACGGCACCACAGATGGTGAGGTAATTGCTCCAATTCTCAGAGTACCAACGGTTAAAGAGTGTTTCGAGTGCGAGCTTCGATTCGGAATATAGACCATCGTTTCCAAAAGTACCATGGTTGGGAGAGAGCGGAAGAATGACCTGAGCTGGGCGCGTCTCGAAACCATTAACCTGTTTCTGAGTCTTCACACTTCCCAGAAGCCTGAGAAGGTTGGTCAGCATGATGCGATGGGCGAGCTCCGACTTCGAGTCAATAGAATCGATCTCGCGGCCGTTCTCCGGAATCGCAGCAAACGGAACGATGAAGTCCAGATCCCAACCAAGCCTTTTGTAGACATAATCAACCAACGCCTCTACATCTTGCTTGCTGCCTTGATTAAAAGGCACCACAACGAGCTGCGAGCCACGTGCACCATATCTGGCATACATGGCTTGGTAGTATTCCGTTACTTCGCGCGAGTACCGACTGGTTGTCACAATGACCTTCGCGCCACCACTGATCAACCCTTGAAGAACCTCCGCTCCGATAGAGCCCGCACCAGCACCGGTCATCAAAACATTCTTGCCGTGGAAGGTCAAACCGGACCGGGCAGCAGACTCTAGTACATCTAAATAGATACCAGTGAGCTTCTTGCTATAATCCCAACCGTGCTCGTTCTTCTTCTTGAGGTGCAGGAAGGGAATCGTTTCAACTTTCCCAGCGCGAGGGCTTCCATTGCGCACAAGCCGGTTCTCAGCCCTACGGGGGGTCTCCTGCATGATCTGGTTTTCGTTCATACTGAGAGCCCGGACGACCTCTTTATAAAGGGTGTTGAACTGCAATTGCGAAGACTTGGACAACCGGTGTTGTCGGCGAATCAATTTGTAAACGCTTTTTAGATCGTTCTGGACCTTAGCCCTGTTGCTATATTCTGAGATCGGACCACCTTCCGCCATTTGCTTAACATAGTGCTCTAATTTGCGAGCACTAGCACGCGGGACCTCTTGGTATTCAATGTTTCCACGGGCATCGATCGTGGTCTGAGGTCCAGTTGGAACAGCGACATCTTTGTAAACGGGTGAAACACCTAGAACTTCCTTGCAGTTCTCGATGAGCTGCTCACCGAGTTCCTTGGCGAGCTGATAGGTCTCACCACGCTCGGTTGGGCAGTTGTCGATGTGATATTGCATGAATTCGAGAAGCAGCGGGTTCGAGCGGTTCATGATGCGGATGCATTGACTGACGATTTCGCGATCTACGGCCTTGAGTCTTCCAAAAATGATGTCGTAATACATGCTCAAAGCGTCTTGACGCGCCCAGTTCCAAGAAGAGTCGTAAACACGAGCTTTCAGATAGTCAAAGGCCGGTTCAATGCCCGAGGCATAGAAATCACCGTGCTCTGCCTGCCACAGGTCAAGCTGCGCCTGGAGAGTCTTCTGGGTTTCCTGTGAGGCAACAAAGGCTTTTTGACCATCTCGAAGATCCATTTTCAGGTACCGGGCGATGATCTCGAGTTGTTGTTTGAACAGAGCACGTTGGTCTTTTGTCAGAGCATCAATAGCAGCCGGGTCCATGAGCATTCCTCCAGCACCTGCACCACCCTCCCCAGAAGCTGTGGGCGCAGAAAGGCTGATGCCCGAGTTGGCAGCGTACTTATTCGCGACATCGTCTAGGAAAGCTTTGGCGTCTGGCTCGGAACCAATACGAGAAGCGGGCTCCATGGTAAGGGCGAGGAGGAGAACGCCGTCCTGACGGCCGGATCCTAGACCCCATCTTGTCTCCAAGTATTTGCGGACGGCCGTGATATTGAAACCTCCAGGCATTTTAGAGGATACTAGTCGCGCAATGAGCGAGGAAGATTGCTTGCCCAATTGCCCATTGAATGTGGCTTGCATCGAGGCACCTAATTCATCTAGAGGAGTGTCTTCCGGCTTTTCAGGTGTGGAACCGAATTCTTTGCCCAAGTCTCCGAGAATTTCATTTTGCAGCGTAGATTTGCCTGCGCCCGTTAGTATTGTTCAAAATTTAGTGCAAGCACTTACCTCCAACCAGATCTTTGATAGCTTTGTTCAAGGGCACATCTGATAGAGCCTTTTTCAGCTTCTGAGCAACCAGTGTTCTAACTACATCCAAAGCAGTCACCGGCGCATCTTCAACCGGCGCAGCTGGGCCAGCGCTCGCCGCGGAAGCCACAGGAGCTGCAGCCGCAGCGGCCGGGGGGGCGGCGGACGCCGCCGGAGCGGCCGCGGCTTCGGGTGTGGACTCAGGTTCGTCTTCCACGGGATCAACGTCGTAATAGATCTCCTTTGCATCCTTGTTGTAGCAGAGAATTTGACGCTGCACGGACGTGGCGGCATCATAAGCTTCATATTTAGAGGCAAGGGTCCTTCTCGCCATTCCACCCAGAGTGTCTGCTGGACCAATTTCCACGATACGTTCTGTGCGCTTCTCCGCTAGTACAACATCTTGTGTCTCGATCCACCTTACTGGAGACGCGAATTGGTAGGCCAGAAGCTCTACCAGTAAGGTGTGGGCCAGTTCTTGTTCAATTTCGGGACGCATTTTGTTTGTGATTTAATTCTGGGGTAATCGCTGCCTAGATATTATGCGGCTTGATCAGACACGGGGTTAGCATCGGGCCTCAATTTGACGCGCAAATCGACAGCGCAAGACAAGCTCAGACAGGGCATGCTCACAGTACACTTGAGAAGATTCCTAACCACTCACAACATGAAAACAGCAGCAATTGTGAGGGTGCCACAAGATGGAGGATGTAGAATAGCAGAGTCCCAGAAAATGCAAGAGATTATTGATGGTATAGTGTAAAAATTGATTGAGAGAAAGTGATTGGAATGAAAAGAGGTGCAATACCCACGGAGCAAGAACAATGAAGAGCTCCAGAGAGGGGGTCAAGACACAAGAGGATGTTGCGATAACGACTCTCTGGGAAGCTTTTTGGTGAGTGTTGGGGCGAGAGCGTCTTCTCGTTATTATTGCACTGGCTCGGACCCGAGAAAACCCATACCTACTTGAGACGAAACTGGAACAAAATCGCCTTGACTCGGTCGGTGGGTGGTTGAGGTGGTAATTTTTCTCCTTAGCTGGTCCTTAGTTGTAATTCTGATGGACTCTAGCCTGTAATTCAAATACTTGGTTATCAACTATAGAGCCGCCATCCAAGTTCAGGCTTTTGCGCAGTGCGTCGGTCAAGTGGAAGCCAAATCCAGTACACTTATGCCGTTCCAGCTGACAGCTGACTCCAGATATCCCGGAGCAATGAGCCTCTGGGGCCTGCAATTGATGGGTGAGGATAAACTTTGCCCTAGATAGACAATTCTAGCTGCTAGGCTTTGTACGCTTACCTCTGGTCACCACTCACGCTCTTGTTTCTGTCTAGCAATAGTAGCAATATGCACTGGTCGCCAGACTCGCCACTGGCCTAGACCACCTTCCACCCATAATCAGTAGTCCTTAAAGCCTGCCCGATGGATGTAGGGGTATTGTCACGATATTACCGGCAGGTGGTCCAGCCCAACCGTTTTTTAGCCTTTGGGGCAGATCCCCGATCCACCATACCCAATTAAGAGATTTCTTGTTCAACCAGTCCGAACCCATGGAATTTCTGCTCCGTCTGACTGGTTCAACATTACAAAACTTTATATGGACGGCCAGGCACTTGCAGCTGCTCGGCACATCTCGTTCGGCCGACCGATATTATTTTTTCCTCTGCCAGGAAACCTCGAAGATACCAGTCTCTAGGGCCTTCTTCCACCTTTCGGAGCGCCCATTTTGTTCTTCTTCATAGACCTTCCTTACACTGTATTTCCAGTCTGAATAGTTACTCTTAATAATAGGTACGCCGCAATACCCCTCCGGGGAATCCTCGCGGACGATTGCCCTTCAGCAATTCGAATTGAGGTCTCTTTTGCTGACCATAGCAGATACTCGTCATTTAGGTGAAGCACGACACAAGAAAACACAAGATGTACGGAACGGCAACGGGTCCTCAGACCGGCATTAACACACCTCGGTCATCGCAGTCATTGAGGCCCCTAATTCTCTCTCATGGATCCCTCGAATTTTCCTTCCTTGTGCCAACATCGCTCCACTTCCATGCCTCGCAGCTGAAAGGCACCTTCACAACCTCCCTACCCGAGCCTACAGACGAACTTGCGCAGGACGATGAACCATCTTCGGTAGCAGAGCTTGTTGCTCGGTACATCGGTCATGTTGCTCACGAAGTTGAGGAGGGTGAAGACGACGCACACGGGACAAATCAGGACGTTCTCAAGTTGGTTCTCAACGAATTTGAGCGAGCCTTCATGCGCGGAAATGATGTTCATGCGGTGGCAGCCACCTTACCTGGAATCACAGCCAAAAAAGTCCTGGTTGTCGAGGCTTATTATGCTGGGCGAGCAGCTGCCGGCAGGCCAACCAAGCCCTATGACTCCGCACTCTTCCGGGCCGCTTCAGATGAGAAGGCGAGCATCTACTCGGTTTTCGGAGGTCAGGGAAACATTGAAGAATACTTCGACGAGTTGAGAGAAGTCTACAACACCTACACACCATTTGTAGATGACCTCGTATCCTCGTCGGCGGAGTTACTGCAGTCCCTTTCTCGCGAGCCAGACGCCAGCAAACTTTACCCGAAGGGTCTCAATGTCATGCAATGGCTCCGAGAGCCTGACACTCAGCCAGATGTTGATTATCTTGTGTCGGCTCCGGTCAGTTTACCGTTGATTGGTCTAGTCCAGTTGGCGCATTTTGCTGTCACTTGCAAGGTGCTTGGAAAAGAACCGGGCGATATTCTCGAGCGGCTTAGTGGGACTACTGGCCACTCCCAGGGCATTGTCACTGCCGCTGCGATCGCTTCAGCCACAACCTGGGAGAGTTTTGACAAGGCGGCCGCTAACGCCTTGACAATGCTTTTCTGGATTGGTTTGCGTAGCCAGCAAGCGTACCCTCGCACATCCATTGCTCCATCCGTATTACAAGACTCAATCGAGAATGGGGAAGGGACGCCAACTCCTATGCTATCAATTCGGGACCTTCCGCGCGCTGCCGTTCAAGAGCACATCGATATGACCAACCAACATCTGCCGGAGGATCGCCACATTTCAATCTCTCTAGTCAACAGCGCCCGTAACTTTGTTGTTACAGGCCCGCCTCTTTCGCTTTACGGTCTCAATCTTCGTCTGCGCAAAGTCAAGGCTCCCACTGGCTTGGACCAAAACCGCGTTCCCTTTACACAGCGGAAGGTCCGCTTCGTCAACCGGTTCCTTCCAATCACGGCTCCTTTCCACAGCCAGTATCTCTACTCGGCATTTGACCGTATCATGGACGACCTCGAGGAAGTGGAGATCTCGCCAAAGTCTCTTACCATTCCAGTCTATGGCACCAAGACCGGCGAGGATCTGAGAGAGATCGCCGATGCCAATGTCGTTCCTGCGCTGGTCCGAATGATCACTCATGACCCTGTGAACTGGGAACAGACAACAGGTTTTCCAAATGCCACTCACATTATCGATTTCGGTCCTGGAGGTATATCGGGTCTTGGAGTGCTTACCAACCGTAACAAGGACGGCACAGGCGTCCGTGTCATACTCGCAGGGGCCATGGATGGCACCAACGCTGAGGTTGGGTACAAACCGGAACTGTTCGACCGTGACGAACATTCGGTCAAATATGCCATCGACTGGGTCAAGGAGCATGGACCACGTCTGACCAAGAATGCTACCGGCCAAACTTTCGTTGACACCAAAATGAGCCGCTTGTTGGGCATCCCACCCATCATGGTCGCTGGAATGACGCCAACTACCGTTCCGTGGGACTTTGTTGCTGCAACAATGAATGCGGGCTATCACATCGAACTCGCTGGTGGAGGTTACTACAATGCCAAGACTATGACCGATGCGATCAGCAAGATCGAAAAGGCGATTCCTCCGGGTCGGGGTATCACCGTTAATTTGATCTACGTCAATCCGCGCGCTATGGGCTGGCAAATTCCCCTTATCGGCAAGCTTAGAGCCGACGGAGTGCCGATTGAAGGACTTACTATCGGTGCTGGAGTTCCATCTATCGAGGTTGCCAACGAATACATCGAGACCCTCGGTATCAAACACATTGCCTTCAAGCCCGGTTCCGTGGACGCTATTCAGCAGGTCATTAATATCGCCAAGGCAAACCCCAAATTTCCTGTGATTCTACAATGGACTGGTGGTCGCGGTGGTGGACACCACTCTTTCGAGGACTTCCATCAGCCCATTTTGCAGATGTATAGCCGCATCAGGCGCCATGAGAACATCATTCTTGTCGCCGGTAGTGGATTCGGTGGTTCCGAAGACACGTATCCGTACCTTTCTGGAAACTGGTCATCTTGCTTTGGTTACCCTTCAATGCCGTTCGATGGATGTTTGTTCGGTAGCCGCATGATGACTGCCAAGGAAGCGCACACTTCTAAGAATGCCAAGCAGGCTATTGTGGATGCCCCTGGCCTTGACGACCAGGATTGGGAGAAGACTTACAAAGGCGCCGCTGGCGGAGTTGTCACTGTTCTTTCAGAAATGGGAGAACCGATCCACAAATTGGCTACTCGCGGTGTCCTGTTCTGGCACGAGATGGATCAGAAAATCTTCAAGCTGGACAAGGCGAAACGCGTGCCGGAGTTGAAGAAGCAAAGGAATTATATTATCAAGAAGCTCAATGACGACTTCCACAAGGTTTGGTTCGGACGCAATTCCGCTGGGGAGACAGTTGATTTGGAAGATATGACATACGCAGAAGTTGTTCACCGCATGGTTGATTTGATGTATGTCAAGCACGAGGGTCGGTGGATAGATGATTCCTTAAAGAAGCTTACGGGTGATTTCATCCGTCGGGTTGAAGAACGCTTCACCATCAGCGAAGGACAAGCATCACTTCTTCAAAATTATTCGGAGCTCAATGTTCCTTATCCCGCTGTCGACAATATCCTCGCAGCCTATCCTGAAGCGGCAGCCCAACTCATCAATGCTCAGGACGTTCAGCACTTTCTTCTACTTTGCCAACGCCGTGGGCAGAAACCCGTGCCTTTTGTCCCCTCGTTGGATGAAAACTTTGAATACTGGTTTAAGAAGGATTCCCTATGGCAGAGCGAGGATCTGGAAGCAGTCGTGGGTCAGGATGTCGGCAGAACTTGTATCCTGCAAGGTCCAATGGCCGCCAAGTTCTCGACCGTCATCGACGAACCGATTGGAGACATCTTGAACTCCATTCATCAGGGGCACATTGACAGCCTCGTCCGAGATGTGTACAATGGCGACGAGAAGACCATCCCTATCACCGAATATTTTGGAGGACGACTGAGCGAGGTACATGAGGAAATCGAAACTGACGGCCTTACGATCTCGGAAGACACAAACAAGATTAGCTACCGGTTGTCCTCTTCTGCCTCGGATCTGCCTGAGCTGAACCGCTGGTGCCGTCTTCTTGCAGGTCGTTCATACTCTTGGAGACACGCTCTGTTTTTGGCGGATGTCTTTGTGCAAGGTCATCGCTTCCAGACAAACCCCATGAAGCGAATCATTGCGCCGAGCCCTGGCATGTATGTTGAAATTGTCAACCCCGAGGATTCTCCAAGAACTGTCATCAACGTCCGAGAACCCTACCAGTCGGGCAAACTCGTCAAGACCGTCGATATCAAGATGAACGAAAAGGATCAAATCGCGATTACGTTGTATGAAGGAAGAACTGCCGAGAACGGCGTGGTTCCCTTGACTTTCTTGTTTACTTACCACCCGGACACAGGATATGCCCCCATTAGAGAAGTCATGGACAGCCGTAACGATCGCATCAAGGAATTCTATTACCGCATCTGGTTCGGAAACAAGGACGTTCCATTCGATACGCCAACGACAGCCACGTTTAGTGGAGGCCGTGAGACTATCACTTCGAAGGCTGTTGCCGACTTCGTCCACGCGGTGGGCAATACTGGTGAGGCCTTCGTTGAACGTCCGGGCAAAGAAGTCTTTGCTCCCATGGATTTCGCTATCGTTGCGGGATGGAAAGCTATTACAAAGCCGATCTTCCCTCGCACGATCGACGGTGACTTGCTGAAGCTGGTTCATCTGTCTAATGGTTTCAAGATGGTTCCTGGTGCTCAGCCGCTCAAGGTCGGCGATATTCTGGACACGACAGCGCAGATCAATTCAATTATCAATGAAGATTCTGGAAAGATTGTCGAAGTCTGCGGTACCATCAAGAGGGATGGCGAACCCATCATGCATGTTACTAGTCAGTTCCTCTACCGTGGAGCTTATACCGACTTTGAAAATACCTTCCAGCGCAAAGATGAGGTCCCGATGCAGGTACACCTTGCGTCTAGCCGTGATGTAGCCATTCTTCGATCTAAAGAATGGTTCCGCCTTGACATGGATGACGTTGAGTTGTTAGGACAGACCCTAACGTTCCGTCTTCAGAGTCTAATCCGGTTCAAGAACAAAAACGTTTTCAGCCAGGTCCAAACCATGGGTCAGGTTCTCCTCGAGCTCCCCACCAAAGAAGTGATCCAAGTCGCATCTGTCGACTACGAGGCTGGTACATCCCATGGTAACCCGGTCATCGACTATCTCCAGCGAAACGGAACCTCCATCGAGCAGCCCGTCTATTTCGAAAACCCTATTCCTCTCAGCGGTAAGACGCCTTTGGTCCTCCGTGCTCCTGCATCCAACGAGACTTACGCTCGGGTGTCTGGTGATTACAATCCTATCCACGTCTCTCGAGTTTTTTCTAGCTACGCAAACTTGCCCGGTACAATCACTCATGGAATGTACACGAGCGCTGCAGTCCGCAGCCTCGTGGAAACTTGGGCGGCCGAAAACAATATTGGCCGTGTCCGCGGCTTCCATGTATCCCTTGTCGACATGGTCCTGCCCAATGACCTGATCAACGTCAGGCTGCAACACGTGGGTATGATTGCCGGTCGCAAGATCATCAAGGTCGAGGCCAGCAACAAGGAGACGGAAGACAAGGTTCTTTTGGGTGAAGCTGAAGTTGAGCAGCCGGTAACAGCATATGTCTTCACCGGTCAAGGTTCCCAAGAACAAGGAATGGGAATGGAGCTGTATGCTACCAGCCCCGTTGCCAAGGAAGTTTGGGATCGCGCAGACCGTCATTTCATTGAGAACTACGGCCTGTCGATTATTGACATTGTCAAGAACAACCCGAAGGAACTTACGGTCTACTTTGGCGGACCCCGTGGCAAAGCAATTCGTCAGAACTACATGTCCATGACCTTCGAGACCGTCAATGCCGACGGCACCATCAAGTCGGAGAAGATCTTCAAAGAGATCGATGAGACTACGGCCTCCTATACTTATCGCTCACCCACTGGGCTCCTTTCCGCTACCCAGTTTACTCAACCAGCCTTGACCTTGATGGAGAAGGCAAGCTTTGAAGACATGCGCTCAAAGGGTCTTGTTCAGAGAGACAGCAGCTTTGCCGGCCATTCCTTGGGCGAGTATTCTGCCCTCGCCGCCCTTGCTGATGTCATGCCCATCGAAAGCTTGGTCTCTGTTGTCTTCTATCGCGGTCTGACAATGCAAGTTGCTGTGGAGCGAGACGAACAGGGCCGCTCAAACTACTCAATGTGTGCTGTCAACCCCAGTCGCATTTCCAAGACTTTTAACGAGCAGGCCCTTCAGTATGTCGTTGGGAACATCTCCGAGCAAACCGGCTGGCTCCTGGAAATTGTCAACTACAACGTTGCAAACATGCAATATGTTGCGGCTGGCGATGTAAGCCGACACCCTTAACTTTTGTTGGACAGTTGCTAATCTTTATAGCTCCGAGCACTCGACTGTCTCACCAACTTGCTTAACTACCTGAAAGCGCAGAACATCGACATCCCGGCTCTGATGCAGAGCATGTCCCTAGAAGACGTAAAGGCCCACCTTGTCAATATCATCCGGGAATGTGTGAAACAAACCGAAGCCAAGCCCAAGCCCATCAACCTTGAACGTGGATTTGCTACAATCCCGCTCAAGGGAATCGATGTGCCCTTCCACAGTACTTTCCTTCGTTCCGGTGTGAAACCATTCCGATCCTTCTTGCTGAAGAAGATCAACAAGACCACTATCGACCCGAGCAAACTAGTTGGAAAGTACATTCCCAATGTCACGGCACGACCCTTTGAGATTACAAAAGAGTACTTCGAAGATGTGTACCGTCTCACAAACTCCCCCAGGATCGCCCATATCTTGGCGAACTGGGAGAAATATGAAGACGGTAGTGAGGGAAGCTCGCGCACAGGCGGTACAGCCGCAGCTTAGTCTTGAAACCTATTTCTTGCACTAGTTTATGAATTCTTATTTAGTCATATAGCTCGTCTTAGCGCCGAGGGATGTTTGTTTGCAGTTATCTTGTCTTGATTGGGCATGCACCCCGTGCTCATTTCTCAAATAACATTCATGCTCGGAATGATATATACAAATCACAGAGTTGTGTGTCGTGTCGTCAGTTCGTGCAGGCCTTCTGTTTCCACTTGACTAAACCCTCCGTGAACTAAATCTTGTTCCTGGGCTGCTTGTATGTACCCGATCAACCAAGCGAGCAATAAGTCATTCTACCTTAGTCACACTCGTTCTGTGTGTTATGTATGTACCTGATGAAACCGGAAGAGAACTACTTATATATACGTATGACAACCCAGCTAAACATCAGATTGAATTTATATTGAATAGTTATCAAATAGCTTTTGGGTTCGATCTCTGGTGCAAAGAAAATGTTGGCAGGGTGCGCAACCTTCAAACCCCGGGACCACAAGAAGTTATGTTTCTCTCCACGGGCCCGGACGTAATAAACGGTCCTCTTTTCCATAGACACCAACATCCTTAACAATGGCGATAAACTTTCTATGGTTTTCTCGTGAGTCACCGATACGTGGTCGGAAAATCTTTAGCAGATCGGTGCTCAGGATACCGCTTGCAGGAATGGCAGCATGGATCTCACCAGGGCTAGGGAAACCTTGCGCCGTAGGTCCAGGAGTCGAAACACGAGGCTGGCCGGTGGCATTGAATCCTATAAACGTCAATAATCGCTTCTCCGCGGTGTGTGGTAAAGATGCTGTCAGTGTGTTACATGCCTTTTATAGAGTCCGGGCTGCTGGCACGACTTCCAGAGAAATTCTTAACTGCCAGTGAGGTTGGACTACCAGCTCTGGATCTCTGTGGCGTTATCCCTTGAAGGTTCATCGAGGGAGGGTTTAGTTTCAATTTCTTGGGCTTTCCGGTTTCACTCATTTCTCCAGCCGATCCCGCACCACCATCAATGTCACTGGCGGAGCCTGCGCCAGGAAGGGTATTCCGCACGCGCTTCTTGTTGATCTGAGCTACGTTAGTCGGTAATCCGCCTGGGCCGGCTGGATTACGAACCGGCGCAGAAAATGAGGCTGGTGACATAGGGCGAGAACCCGGCTGTAATGAACTCTGCGAGGGTGAGTGCTTGCTCTTGCCCTTTTTGCGAGATGTGTCTGTCCCACTAGCGTCCGATACATTGGGAGACCCAATACGCTTCCGGGAGACACCAACTGCAAGTTTCTTCGATGGATCAGTATACTTTGGGCGACCTGAAGGAGTAGTGTTGCCTTTTGAAGAGGTAGCAGAATCCTTCTTGCTTTTTTCTTCTTCAGTCTTCCGTTCGTCCTCTTTGGGCTTCTCGTCGTCCGTCTCGTCGGAACTCTAAATGATGCCAATTGTTAGAATCTTTCTAGCATTTCGCCTAATTTTCATTCTCAGCATACCTCATCCGTATAAGGATTGGCATCAGAGCCGCTGCTGTAATCGTAATTCTTTTCCCTCTTCTGGAGGGCTTTTCGAACTTTTTTGCCAAGGACGCGACGAGCCTCCTTCTCCCTCTTTTCTCGTAATTCTTCCTCCTCATATTCTTTCTCGTTCTTCAGGTCGAAGATGTTCGCTTTGAGCTGATCCTGTTTTATTCGTTTTTCTGCCGCCTTCGCATCTTCGTTCTCACCAAATAAATCGTCGTGCTCCTCATCATCGGCGAAGCGGTCTTCTTCGAAATCCATATCATCCGCTTCTAGGCCCTCGGCAGCCGGGGTACCCTGCTTTCCAGCGTAGACCTTTCTTTGCCTGGCAAATTTCTCTAGCTCCTGTCGTTGAGCTTGTTCCTGTTGCTTCTCCATGAACCACCTGGGATCTTTGATTTTTTTGGCCATGAACTTCTCCGCTTCTTCAATCGTCAACGTCTTGAATTGGTTCTTGGCATTAAATCTGTACCACTTCTCCACTGGGATCATCGTCATTTTCCCCGTGCTTCCAAATATGAAGACCGCGTGTGTTTCTGATAGCGCCGCTTCGTAATTTCCAACCCAGATATTCTTGTTATCAAAATCCTCTAAATGCCAAGGTAAAGCCTCTTCATATTTGATTCGAGTCCGAGCAATCTCTTCTGGCGTCATGTCCGTCTTAGAAACCTGCTGTGTCTTTTGTTTTGGAACGTTCGTTCGCTTCGGGGCGGACCCGACGGACGGGGCTATTTGAGCAAGATTGTCTGCTCGCTCTTTCTCTCGCGCAACTTTCCTGGCCTCCATCTCTTCTCGTTCGACATCGTCAACCTGGTTGCTTGTCTCCGATGAAAGCCTTTGGCTGGCCTGCCCTTTATCCATATTGAGCTCGTGTAAACGTGTCCGCGGGTCCCGGCGTTGAAGCCTAACAGGCCTTGTAAACTGAGACTCATCGCGAGGATCCACTGCCTTTTTAGAAGCGAAACGCGCGATATGATGCTTTAGACTTTCCTTGATCGCTCGCTTTGTGGTTACGAGAGGGTAATCCACATAAGCTTCAGAGAGTAGAGGCCCGCTGAATCCATTATCAGCAAACTCACTTTTCGCTGTGGGTATGTTGAGTTTATCAATTTGCGCATTAGACGGCGCTGCTCGCGCGGGGAACGATCTGAGCGCTTCGGCTGGGCCTTTCGCCGCGGTCCTCCTTTTCGGGCGTACAAGCGGATCAGCTGCTCTAGCTCGCCGGATGCGCATTGGCGGTACGCCGGATGACGCCGTTGGCATTTGAGGAGTTGGTTTGTTTTTAGGTGTGCTCGTCATGATGTCTACTCGGGAAATGACACCGACGAGCGAGCCGCGATTCTGGGAGGGATAAAGAGAACACGTGGGTGGTTTTTTATTCAAAAATTGATTATATGAAGAGCCCGGTTGTAGTATACCTTGGAGTTAATCTTCACGGATGGTTCCGTTTGATAGAAGCAGAAACTGTGTTGTAAATGGGTGCCAGGAATAGGATGGGGGAGATAAGCATCGTCGGCTTATATAAGCTACAGCATGGCCCACCCTGATGGTTAACTGTTACTGTCACTTGGCGGTGGCCCGTGACTGGTCACTTGAGGAAAAGAACCCAGTAAAACCCGCCAAGAGATTTTATTCTTTCTCTCTCTTGGATGAATAGAATATAGATATAATATGACTAGCGGGTCCTTGCAAGTCAGGTCATTCATAAGCACTATGATAGTGACTACTACAACCTTTGACTGCTGTCTTGCGGCCTAACCGGTCTAATTGCTCCATCACAAGGAGTACAATAATAAATATTTTCAAGGCTGGCCCTATAGGTATTGTAGACTCCGTTGCAGTGGACATGTGTATTAACAGAAGTTTAGTGCCTGACTTCCAAGTGCATATCCACATCATTAAAAACAGCACAATACTCTAGAACAATTCAACTATCTTTTGGTCATCATTTTGATCCCGCGATGCAAAGGTGTCTCCTTCATCCTCTTCGTCTCGCATTATGACCTGGACCAACCTATCACAGGCCTCACGAACATCATCATCATCAACTCGAAGATGACACTCTCGTATCACCGGATAAACACTAACCGCTCTCAATCTATCGCGTCCTTCCCGGGTAGTTGTCAGCAAAAGGAGGGTTTCAAGATGAGTAACGATGATGCCATTGTCGCTCTCCCTCTGCTTGTCCGGGGGCAGCAGCTGGAGGTCCGGAAGCATATCTGAAGTATCCTCCTCACTGTACTCTTCTGGTCCCATAATCGGCAAAAGTATGTAGGGGAGGAGATTGGCCTCGTCTTCGGAGAAAAGAGTCGGGTGGAACGGTATCTCGAAAGCAACATTCTTTATGGTCGATGCAACACCCCTCCTTCGGACCGTACTAGTATGCTCCGTGAACACGGTGAGTTTGGTAACTGGCACAACCCCATCATAATCCTGCCTCGACGTAAAGTATGCACGCCCTTCTTCTAGCTTCGACAGGTCGGCAAAAAGATAAGACAAGTAGTCGTAATTTGAATGTTTATTAAGTGCACCCTCGGCGCCCTTCACGAAGCAATCCATCAACTGATCGATCGAATTTTCGGAGGTGGACACAGGCTGAGCAGATCGGCGTTTGAGCGTGAAGAGCTTTTTGATCTGTCCGGACTTCGCAAGGTTCGCGAATAGCATACAGATGCCATCTGCATTGCGCTCCTTGGGATTCTGTCAATGGGCGGTTAGTGGACAGTACATGTTGTATGCTATAAACGACTCAGGCAAGCAAGAAAATGCCATGGTCTTCTAAGGAACCATGAAGGCAAAAACCTACAGTCACTTTCACAAGGAGTGTCTCAATAAAATTATCATCACTGGCGAGCTTATGCAGGACCTCCTGGTCGCCGGAAAGATTGACGAGTATCGTTAACGCGTTGCTCGCGATAGGCTATCCGGAAGTCAGATTCTTGTAAGGGCAGAAATAGTCTTCACATAGTTTTGATCCCAAAAGAGGCGTGCTCACTGACTGTATAGTCTCGAACGAGGAGTTTCAAATCTTGTATAGGCAGAAGTTGGTGACGCTTGAAGATTTCCGGCTTTGAGGCTGAGTATCCAACTAGGGTTTCGCAAGCTTTAAACCATTAACATTGGTTAAAACCAAGTATGGAATTCGGCATACCTATTTGCCTGATTTGAGTATTTCCATGGTGGAGGAATTCAACTAGCTAGAACTGAGTGAGTTCACACAACCGCTGTTCTGGCATATGGGTATCGGCTACATACCTCGTCCAATTCGGTTTTCATCCTGATTGTTTACACACTGCAGCACTATTGTCTTGAAGGTGAGACTATCGGTACGTAGTCCGTCCTCTGTGGACGTAATAATGAAGCCAGAAAAAATTACTTCAATAATTTCAACCGTTCGGTGGGGCAGGGCTCTGACTCTTATCGATACGTACCGGTACCTAAGGTCGTGTGGGCCGGACGGCCCAGACCACACGGAATAAATTCCGATCGAGCATCAGCATCTTCAGAAAACATTATTGGGCCTCTTCAAATAATCGATGGGCGGTTATCTAATCAATTGGTTCAAGACATTTTGTATGTACTGCCGGAAATAGGTCGGCCTTGAATACGCGGGGTACAGGGAAGGGTGTGGAGTTACTTGCTTCTTCAGAATTGATAGCTAGGTTATTGTTTCTGACGACCTCGTATATCTATGCAGCATGCTTTCGGTTTACCAGATGCTTGGTGGCTAATTATTACGGACAGTAGACAGCTTGAAACCCCTATAGCAATACTCGTGGTGTCCGGGCGCTGGGCCAACGTAACCAACGCAAGCGTATGGATCTGCATCTAATACTGTACTATCACCCCCAACAAATCTGCAAAGGGGTGCTAATTATAATGTTAGCCAGGCTGTTTGGCGCGTTCAGGCGACGGGATCATTCAAAGTGAGCGGTAGCAGCTGAGTTTGATCATGAGGACCATTATCTGCAGCTTCGACGGGCGGGGCTGGACTTCCTGAGCTGTCTTTGCAGATGCCTCCCAGGTGATCTGAAGACCTTGGTCCAAAGTGGGAATCGACCAGGTGCTGTACGACTGGCCAGCCATAAGCATTCGCGAACATTCGACGAACGATTATGTTATTATGAGCATCAGGTTCTAAGCGAACGAGGACCTTTCGCCACGAGAGCCCGCGGTGGTAAGCCCGGGCAATCTTCTCTTCCACTTTGAGCCCCGGGTCATTTGCAGCGTCTTCAGCCGAGACATGATCCACTGCCACGGTCCCGTGCTGGTTGATAGCTGTATTCCGTCGCTTTACGGCCGGAGGGGGAATATCCTCGGGGTGGTAGATCCGGTCATGCAGAATGGTTCGGGGCCGAACTGCGGGATTAACGATGTAATCGACTGCAGGGAGAGGAGGCATAAGGATGTCACCAGCGGATTCGAGTACAGTTGTTCTAGGTGGCGGTACTAGTCCAGTATCATGGGAAGAGGTATGGTCAAAGTAAGGGCCGTCTTGCTGAACCAGATCTTCCGCCATCGGAGAAGCAACTGTTTGGCTGCGTCTGAGAATCTTAACCTGCTTGTGGCCAGGCTCCTTTAATCTGAAAATCGAGAACAAGCCACCCAGAGGACTAGACGATGGCTGCAATGAAGGTCCATCCATTTGGGGGTTCATGTACTTGTCCTCAGATTCATACAACATTTCCGCCTGAATTGCAGACCCCATTCCAGCAGAAGAGGATACAGAGGATGAAGATTGTGTCGAAAAGCCTCGTCGGGTATCCACAGTAAGGGGTACTTGCTCCACGGCCCTTGGGGCAGAAATGCTTGTGGCTTCTCGGCCATTGATCTGGCTAGAAACTCCTGGGGACCTTGAATTCGCCCCGGTCAATTCGGCCCAGCCCCATTCGGCCATTGTTCCAACAATTCCATTCTCTCGCCTCGTTTTCTCAACGCGCTTTAGTCCTTTCCAGTCAAGAAAAAGTAAGCACGAAGTCCGAAGCGGCACGATCCCATCATTGACCAGATTGGAGTATAATGTGCGGTTCTTGAATTTAGAAAGTGCCTCATGAGCTGGACCAGATGGGAGAATCCTCAGCAAAGGCTTCGCCCGTGCATGTGTGGGTCTTTCGGTATTGAATGTTTCTGCTTTCCCACCCATTATGGCCTCCCACCCACTCCTGGCCCTTGGTGTTGTCCAGCTAAGTCCTAGATCTTGACCTGTGCGGCCAACAAGGCCGAAATCCAAAGCGAACCGAACGTACACGGGATTCTCGTTGCTCAACCCAAGGAAAGGCGAAGCTAAGGCAACAAAATTGACGGGTTTGATCTTCTCGAAGAAGTCCGGGGAGTGTTTTCGAATGTATGCAATAGCATATGTTTGCACGAGGCCTCCGAGCGAGTGTCCAATGAAACTGATACTCGTTACCTGGTATGCATTATGCTTATCGATATGTAAATGCTCTTCATCCCTGTCTGAAAATGACTGCGGGTGAAAATCGTTCGACTCTTTTGCTCTCCATATAGCCAATAGATTGGTATAGGTTCTGACCTTTGACTTTTTGCGCGGTAAATAAGGCTGGTCAGGATAAGTTATCAACAGCACGTATTTTGCAAGACGCTTGCCTAGGTATTGGATCCCACGTTCTGTGCGCGCCGCATTCCCATGGAAACCCCGAACGATAACACGCTCGTCTGGGCAATCATGTTCACATGCGCCACAAGAACTGGTTTAAATTGATTGGCAGCGTCAGCAGAGGCGATAAAATATTGAGCAAGCACATAAATTGAGCTTTGAGAAATGAATGAGCGCTTACTCTGAGAGAGTCGATAATGGTTCTTGCGTCGATCCGTCCGTCGACCTATGGCAATTCTGACAAGGTTTGCGTTTCTTGGTGGCGGCATCAATGCTTTCTTTTAGATACAGCATGTCCGCTCCAAGATTGCTATGTAGACCATGGGTTAATATGACAAGGTGGATTTTTGTTCGAGGTTTGGCGCGTGATCCCATGGTAACTGATTGTCGAGACACGGATGCAGAATCAGCCTCGTGAAACGTGGGCTCGGGTATCAATGAGTCTTCATTACCGGACTCCTGACTGTGACATGAAGCGGGAAGATGCGGGGTGTTCCAAAGGCTAGCGGTATCATCTATCAACAGCCTTATGGAATCCGAGTATACACCTTGTTTGGCAAGTAGTTGCTCCCCTTTAGATCCCGAAGGCCAGTGATCGTGCAGGTGGGCAGGGGTAGGTGGTAAGGACCGCGCACTAGAAGGTGGAAGATCCAATGACATCTCATTCCGACCAACCACGATCTCGAAGTTCACCGACGCAGTGCTCGAAAATATGACTTGCGATATAATCTCGATAATCCATGTGGTTTCCTGTCGAGTTGTATAGTCGCCGGATCCAGAATCTCCCTGCTGCCTACAAACTGGCACAGGTATCACTGCATTCCAAGTTCCACCAGCTTTGAGGTACGGCTCGAATTGAGGGACATCGGAGGCGTCGGTAGTGCCGATTCCAGTGCTTGGGTCAAATGAACATGGATAACACGACGCATATAGAGTGTATGGACCATGTAGATATGCGGCTCGCAGTGGTATTGCCGATGTGTTTCTTACCTTCACATGCAGCGCAGCTGGGGGAGGCTGAGTTTCGTCGGCCGCTGGCCTGTAATTTAAAGTGTATCTACCGGCACATATTAATATGGTTCAAAGGAAAAAGGAATGTTGATTGGAGCAAACCTGATAACCTCGCCGACGCGCACACTTCCAGCCTGCCAAATTAATGGCATCTCTGTTATATGGTCGGCATCTGTGGGCACGGCGTGCCAGCCTGTGAGTGAAGAGAAACGCAGCCGCTTTGAGTTACCTGTTGAGTTGGAGGGCCCATCCAAGGTCTGTGAAGCAGAGTATGTCCGTGGAGTGATCAACATCGGTTCTAATCTCGCCACATTTGAATCCCGGTAGATCCAGCAAATCGGTAATTCAATGGCATAATACTATTTTTTGACTTGAGAGACTTGACTAAACATGTCTCTTCGGCTTCGCTAAGACAGGGCCTGTATTCCACTATTAACTGAAATTCAGCCTCTATCTCATAGGTGTACTGCAAATTGTGTATATGGCAGAGACGTGTGTGCTTGCAAATTTAGATAATATAATTGTGGCAGATGACTGCGGTATAATATGTGGCAGTTGCAGGTGGTTGTCGCGCGCAGGCGCATCTGGCTAGTCAGCTGATATGTGCACACCACGGAAGCCAGGTTTTAAATCCTTGGGTGGACATGAAAAAAGAAACCGCGAATAGCGCAGGAGATGGAGAAGCATAGGACCAAATGACCGCGCCGCATAGTCCTTCCTTTATAGGTAAAAAAACGGTAAATTGCGCGGAAAACACGCTTTTAGGGGGGCTATGGCCCGGCAACACCTTTACTATGTCTTAATTTTAATAAGGTATTATTTAGGTAGCTTAATCCTATAAGAATTAGGCAGGGCTTGTGTTTAAAATTACCTAGGTTTTTAAAGTTAGTATTTTATTTCTCGCGGGTAATATATTTAGTATTATATTATATAAGCCCTTTAAATTTTAATATTTTTTACTTAATAAATTAACTATTTCCCTAATTTAATATTATCTAAAAAGTAATATTTAAAAAACCTATAATTATATTAAAAATGCCTGTGGCTTAGTTTTTAATAACTAGCTAATAGCGTTGCTTATAGTAAACCTTTGGATTATTTATATGTAGCAAGCGGTAAGTTATAAAAAAACCTTAATTATTACATGCTGCGCTAGTTTTAATTAAAATAAGCGTGTTTTAGGCGCTAGTTTTTTAGGTATTTAATATACTTTTTAATTAAGTAATACATGGTTATATTATAAAGCTATATATATATTTTAAATAAGAAATATTATTAAAAATAAAAATAATAAAACTTTTATACTTTTAATTTATTAATTAAAGGGCTTTTTTAAGGCTTATTATATTTTAAAAAATGGTAAACTTAGTTACTTTTAGTAATTTAATTATTTTATTTATAGGGGTTTTTTTTAATACATGGTAAAATTTTATAAGGTATTACTTATAAATATTTTATATAAAAAAGTATTTATTATTTAACTAGCGTGTAATAACTAAAAATTTTTAACTAGTAATATTAATAATAGCACTATTATTATTAAAGTATATTATAATTAACTTATTATTTTATATTTTAAGTATTTTAGCAAGCTTTTTTATAAATAAGGCTATTTTAATAGCCTTATTAAATATTAAAAATTTTATTATAATAAATAAAAATACTATAACTACTTATTTTTTTAAACTTTATATAATAAAAAATTTATAAAGGTATATAATAAAGCCCTTAATAAACTTTTTATTAAAATAATTTTAATAAAATATATTAAAATAAATAATTATTTTTTTTATATAAGTTTTAGTAAGTATTAAATTACTTTAATTAATTATAATATAATAAACCATGTGCTTAGCAGCTATTATATTATTAATAATTAAAATTTTTTATTAATATTATAAAAATTAAACTAGGTATACAAGGTTAACACGGGTTTTTTAAAGCTAGTTAAAAAATTTAATTAATTAGGTAAAGGCGTGAGTGCTAAAAGTATTAAAAATTAAAAATATATTAAAATTTATAATATTTAATTAATTAACTTTTTATATAATTTTAATATACCCTTTTATTATTAATGTTTTTACTAGCCTAGCCTTAGTAAGGCTAAAATACTAAGCTATTTATTTTATATATATAACTTAAAAAAGGTAAATTATCTTATTTTTATAATTATAGGATATTATTAATTTAAAAAATTTAATTAATTTATTACTAACTTTAAGTTTATAAATCTTTTATAAAAGGCTAATAATAATATTTATATTAATTTTTATCTTAATAATAATAATATTATTATTTATATAGGTAATAATTAGCATGTAAAATAACTTTTAAATATATATATAAGGTTTTTTAATAAGTAGCTTAAAGCCCTTAGCACGTAGTAATTAATTAAATTTCTAGTTTTATAAATATATAAAATTATAAAGGCTAAATAAAACTTTTTATATTTTATATATAAAGTTATTATTAATTTTATGGCCGCGTGGCTATTATATATAAACCTTTTAATTAACTATTTTTATATTAAAATAAGTATTAATAATATTAAATTAGCACTAGCTAAGCCTTTAAATAGCTATAGCTATTAATATATATTTAATTATTATATTAATTATAATTAAATAAAAGCTTTTATTATAATTTAATTTAATAACTTAGTAATTACCACACGTGATAATCCAAGCCTTAAATAATAAAATAAAGCTATTTTTATTATTTTTAAGTATAAATACCCACTTACTAAAAATAATTTTAGCCCTTTTTAACTATTTAATAAGCTTTTATATATTTATAGTAACTACCATGCTAATATAAATTAATATAGCTTTTTTTTATTAATTAAAAAACTTGAATTACCGCGCTTTTTTATAAAATTTTAATATTTTAATATTATTAATATATAATTTAGCTTTAGTTAATATTTAAAACCTTTTAATAAGTAAATACTAAATTATTCCCTTAAATATTTTAATAACTTTAGTATTAAGGTGCTTAGTTACTTTAGTTAGTGGGCTATAATTAATATAGGGTTTAGGGTATTTAATTAATAAAATAATTATTATATTAAAAATATTAGTATTTATATTTATCTTGTGTAAGGTGGCCTTTATTATTAAAACCTTTAATTAATTAAAAAATTAATTTAGTATCTTATAGTTTAATATTCCTAAATCTTAATTAATTAATATATTAAGTACTAGATTAGTATTTATATTAAATATACATGGCTTAAAATAATCCGCCTTAAAAATTTATTTATATATATTTTAAATATTATTTAGCGCTAATTTTAGTAAATTAAGGTTATTTTAAAGCTTTTAAAAGCATGGAGTAAGTAGGGCTTAGGTTACTAGTAAAAATAATATAATTTATATTTAAAATTAATTAATAAAATTTATTAATAATAGTGTATAAGCTGGTGTTATTATAGTATTAATATTTTTTATTAAAAATTAAGGTAGTATTACTAAATTAAGGTTATTAAAATAATTTAATAAGGTTAGGCTTAGCGCGCTAGTACTATTATTATTATTATTAATTAATTATTTTAGTAAAATTTTTATATTTTTAATATATAAGTACTATATTAATACTAGGATAAAGTTAACCTAGTATTTTAATATTAATAAGGCAGGTAACTTTAATTTAATATTATTATATAATATTAAAGTTAATTAGCATTATAAAATTAAAAATATAATTTAAATTTAGCTAGTAATTAGTGTTTTAAGTGCCTAAATTATTAAAATTAGCTTAAAAATAGGTATATTATTAAGTTTAATACTATATATAATGGCCCCTAGCGCTAATTTATTTAGTTAAGGTAGGGTATCTTTTATAAATATAATATTAAGTAAGTAATTATTTTTATAAAACTTTAATTTATTAAATAAAATATACTTTAAGTAGTAAACCTGCTTTCCTAAAACCTATACTTAAAAAATTTTATTATTATTTTTTTTATATTTAATTAAATAGCTAATTAAAGCTCTTATAGCAAGCTTATAAAATTATTTATAATTTTTAATTAATATATAAATATATAATTTATAGCTATAAGCACGGAAGTTATTAAAATAAGGTATTAAGTTATTAATTTAATAATATTCACGCTATAGTTACAGGGGTAACTTATTATAAAAATTTTTAATAATAAATAATTAATTTAAGGTTATAATAGCAGCCTTAATTATTTTAAGCTATATTTTTTTTAGTAAACTAGTATTAATTTTTATAGCTTGGGCTATTATATTAATATACTAGGTATAATATTTTAAAATCTTATTAAACTTTAAAGTTTTTAGTAAAAAAGGTTAAAATATTAAATTTTTTGGCTTAGCCTAGGCCTTATACTTAAAAAACTTTTTACTATTATTTATTTTAATAGCGCAAATATACTATTTTATAAGGTGCTTATAATATTTTTAGTATAATATTAGTTATTAAAATACTTTTTTTTAATATAGTATACCGCGGCTAATTAGGTGGTATTATTAATAATTATAAGGTAGTAATTAAAATCACTAATTTTAGTTAATTAAATAAGTTATATATTTATATATTATAGTTCTCCTGGATTTACTTCCCGCGGGACAAGCTAAAATAATATTTTATAAAATTTAGCCTTAAGGCAAGCTAAGTAGTTTAATTAATTAATAATATTTATATTAAGGCCTTCTACCTAGGCTATAATATAAAGTTTAAAAATACCCGCGTGATTAAAATACTTGTAAAGTAAATTTATATTAATTATAGTTAATTAAAAACATTATTTAAATATAAACTTTAAAAAAAAATACCATGGTATGTGTAAGCTTGCCTTATAATAAATTTATTTAAATTAATAAAAGTATTATTTTTTTTATAATATTATATGCTAAGTATTTTTTTTAATTTTTTAATAAATAATAAGTAAACCAAAGCCTTAGGCGCGTGATATTTATAAACCTTAATTTTTTTATATATGTTATTTATACCCTTTATAATAATAATTAATATTTTATAACTTTTAGTATGTTTAATTACTTTATTAAATATTTTATATAAGTATTTTAAGTGGTTTAGGCTATATTTTATATAATTTTTAAAGTTAAAGTGCTTAAGAAAAATAAACTTAGCTAATTTTATATTTATAAGCTATTTTATTAATTTAGTGGTTATAATAAAAATAAATATAACTAAAAATTTAGGGCTAATTTTAGGCTTTAATTTATTATATTTAAAGTTATAATTATTAAATTTATTATTATTATATAAAGTTATAGCTTATGGCTTTATACTAGTTTTATTT